GGAGCCTTCTTCAGGTGTCTTCACTTTCTTCTTCTTTTCAGCATGGAATAAACCTATTACTTGTTCCTTTGCAGCCTACACATGCTGACGCAGCTACTCACCTATCATTTTACTATTGCTAATTGACACATACAGTATACAGTATACTGTTTTCATACCCTGTGTCTACCACTTGCAGAGTGAAAAGTGTAAAGAATGGCCAAGGTACAGATTGTACGAGCCGGTTGCAGTGCGGTGACGGCACCGCTTTCTATTCCCCTGCACATAACAGGGATATTGGTCTTCTTTAGCTCAGCTGGTAATATCACTGTTGAGTGACACCGGAGACCCAGGTTTGATCCTGAGGTGGGGGACGAACTGGGGCAGGAGGGGCAAGGGCAATTAAACCCCTAAGAACCCGAATTCGCTACAATATTTTTTCTGAAAACAAACAAAATACCCATCCATTTGCTAACCGTTTCATCCAATTCAGGGTAATGGGAGGCAGAGCCTATCCTAGCAAGCAATAAGCACAAAGAGGGGCACACCCTAGATAAGACACCAGTCCATCATAGGGCACTCATAGCCAGACACAGACACGCACACTCACACCAGGGTCAATTTTCCCAGAAGTCGATTATCTTTTCAGTACTGTATGTCTTTGGACTGTGGAAGGAAACTGGAGCACCTGAAGAAAATCATTGTGAACATTCAAACTCCACATAGGTAGCACCCCAGGTGCATAACTGAACCCAGGGCCACAGTGCTCTGAGGCAGCAATGCTATTCATAGTAAACAAGATATACTGTAGCGCTCTTATCATCTTAATGAATAACAATGCTGGGTATGGAACATGTCAATACTTTTATTCTATGGACAAATTCCTTCCCTTACACAGCAAAGGCTGTTTTATTCATCCTCAAATAACAAGAACAGCCTTCAAGCTGACACGCATGACTTATAAAAATGAGCCGAAATCATTTCTTCTGGGTCGGAACGGTCTTAAAATTGCAACCCCCAGAATCCACCCCCCTTATCAGTTTCTGAAATACGCCAACCTGTTAAGAGAAAGCGTTAAGCACAGCTCATACCTAAGCAGTTGCCCTTGTATAACGAAGACCGTGCGTTTAAACATGTACAGTATTTCAAAATAAGCTTACAAGGCTCGATTGACTGACAAATTACAATTTATACTGTATGTAATTCCTGGCCAATGCATTTTATTAACATAATTCGTCCAATCTTTCCAGTGTAAAATAAAGCATAAGCACAAATACTCGCAGAAAAAAGTTTAGTGCACGCAAAGTCTTAACAGCGTTAAATGCAATGTTTATGTCCAGTCTAGAAAATAATGCTGTACATTTTCTAATACGGTACAAATCCCATAGCTCGTGTGGTCTAGGTGAACAGCATAAAACATTCCAGCGAATGAGCTGTACAGATTCATATCACACCCTGCGGTCTGCCGAGAAACTGAGGGATGAGAGACAAAAGCAATGTAAGAGGGCGCAGGGGGGAGAAGCCGGGCACGAACTGTTCAGAACGAGAATCTAAATGATAAGAACGGGGGGAGCAAAAACAAATAAGAAATCGGAGTATAAAGCAATGAATTGATTTTAATTGCTTCTACAACTCTGGAACGATCTTCCTATAGACATTAGTCATTCATCAATTTTCTAAGTGCTTCGTGTAATTCAGGAGGAGCCGGGTAAACAACAGGCGCAAGGCAAGGTACACCCTGGACAGGAGGCCAGTCCATCGCAGGGCGGATAGACACTCACACCTAGGACCACTTTGCCCAGAAGTCAATTAACCTATTAGTATGTTTTATGGGGCGAAACTGGAGCACACGGAGGAAATCCACGTGAACATAAGAGAGCATGCGAACTTCACACAGCTAGCACCCTTATTTCGGAATTGAACCCAAGGCCCCAGCGAGTTGCGAGAAGGCAGTGCTAACCTGCGCCACCGTCCCACTAAACATTACAATCCAGTATATGAAACCTACGCATATCAATTTATCTCAAGAAGGTTTGCCATGAACGAACACCACCAATTAGATTAAGAATTAGAACTGCTCAGAAGTGGTATTTTGTGGGTTATTCAAGGGAAAAACGTTATAAAATAAAATAGGAGAATGAAAGGAGTCCATTGCCTGTCTGCTAAGAATGATTTAAAGAAACGAGGCACGGCACAGAGTATTTTAATTAGCCCGACCTTCACACTCTTAATTAATTCATTACAGGGCTAACTGAGTTAATGAACACATTGATTAATTCAGTAAATAATCTTATGTACAGTATTAATAAATACCCCAATAGAAACATGAAGACGTGTTGTGAGTGGCAGCGAGAAATAGCAGAACTGCCAAGGGATCTCTTTCTCCTAACGATAAAAAATAAATTGAAATAGAGGCTGTGAAAAAGCAGTGGTAGAGCTATCCTGTTGCTAGACTGCGACATTAGCGCAGGCATCGGCGACGAGCTGAACAGCTGACATTTCACAGGAGCCATCTATCACACCCGCTTAATGGATTTTCGGGAACACTTGCTTGTGAGGTGACATTCATAAAATGGTTAATTAATAACTAAATACGTGATTTATAGATGCTGTAATTCTCAGTAGTAATGAATTAATAAACACTACTTGCCGGATTTCATTTGTCTGACCGCAGAATTAATAGCAATGTGACGGGATTGTCATGCCTTTGATGAGCTAGAGAGCGAAGCAAGACGCGACTGAGTTTAGTATCAGAGCAATACCTATTACATGCTTCTAACGCTTGTGCTTCACGGGAACATGAAAGCTACTCATAAGAAACTATGAAAACGCGCACACGTTGATATATACAGTTTACTGTACTGTATATCCTCCACTTATGAAATACATACGCGCGCGCGTATTCTTGTTTATGAGCTTCTTTCGTAGCAAGCTCTGTAGACTTATAGTCTATAGGCTATACAGTATGTGTCTATATAAAGCAAGTTGTTTCATATGCATTTTAGTAAGTACTGCATAGGCTTTAATATATTTAAGCTATTTAACAGCCAGAAATTCATCAGGATATACAGTACATACTACAGTACAGTATATTGTAATCTTGTACTCAAATGTTACGGTCAATAAAATTCAAATTAATGCTTGTACTGAATAACCTTTAATAATTCGAAAAACTTCCTCGCTCACTAGAGCTGCGCTGTCATTTGTACAAACAGATTGATAAAGTCTAGAAAATATTCAGTCCACCAATCAATACTCAGATTTCCATGTGTTGCATCTTAAAGATGGCCGGGGAAAGAAACTGTACTGAGATACATGTTCATTACGAATCAATTTTAAACATTGCATCGTGTTCTTGAAATGCAGACTCAAAAATCGATGTCTTTGCCCCACGAATGAAGGCTGACTATTAATGCTAAAACACGCGCACCTGGTATGAATATCTACATGCGTTACCAGTATTGATTACTGGAGATGACGCATGGCAGGGATGGGCAAGCAGTCTTCGAGGGCTGCAGGGTTATGGAGGTCTTACAGGTACTTTTCAATTAACACCTGGTTGAAATACTTTTAAGAATTAGTCCTTCTCTGATTTATGATCTACCAAAGCTTACGTGAACTAAAATTCTGTATTCCTTATGTGCATGCTGAAGACGGGTCGGTGTTATTTACAGTATTCAATATGAGCTTCGTTTTACTGTATGTGCAATTTCACGGGAGCATTTTATTTTAAAATAGATCATATACAGTATACGTCGAACAACAGTCTGTTCACTCAGTTAAGTCCGTTGTCATCCTATCCTCCTGGCTGCACGACCCACCAAGCGAGATGGGTACATGTTTAGCCGATACCTCCACACAGGCAGCTAGGAGGTGGGGAGAAAACGAGTCGAGGCTCTCAGAGTTCCGTGCTTCTCGTCCCGCCCCGGCTTGTTTATGATAGTCGGCTCTCCGCTCCAATCCCCTGCGGTCCCGGGTAGATTAATGATGCGGCTGTAATAAACAGCTACCTGCTCGTCTGCCAGCCCGTCACTGTAGGTCCGCAATTTGCAATCTGCCTGCTATCTACTTGTTCTACGCCGCAGTCACTGTTTTCATCGTATAATCGTAATGATTGATTTTTTTCTTCATCTGTCGGAAGTAAGCCTTCGTGGCGAACAATGGAACAGCTTTGCCCAGTTTGTCAAATCAAATTGCATTCCGCGCTACATTACAACACTTAAGTTTTTTTTTCTGTTCCTCAAAAACAATTTCCATAAATACCCTACACAAAACATCCCGTTGAAAGTAACAATCAACCTAACTCCTCTTGACTATTGGCGAGAAACCTGAGTAAGAGATATAGGGAAACATTTTTTTTTAAATAGCACTGTTCAGGTATACTAAAGTGAACTGCACAGTTCAATGACTAGAATAGCAAAAACACTTTCTTGATTAATCAAATAAGCCACCAGTGTGAGCGCATTAAATACATCTGTAAATAGGCTGATTAACAGGCAATCGATGGCGGCGATCTTTACCTCCGACGTTACAACGAAGCAAGGCTAGGTTGTGTATTTTCAATTAATTTGCAATGTAAAAACAGTAATTTCAAGCACAACAAGTATTTCCCTACTTTTTATTTTACATTTGTCTTGAACATGGAAGATGCCAGCACCCCTGAAGTCCTTATCACGACTCCCTGATGCACCAAAACATCACCTTTCCTGCCTCTCTGTCACAATGCAATGCCTTTATCCCCTAGTTTACTACTACACATAACTGAACACATATTTAAGGATTGACCAGGAGTCCACACCTCCAGTCAGCTTTTGCTGATTTTCCAAAATATCACTTTGTCCTTCCCAAAAGGTCTTAATAACACTCTGTAATATGTCCGTCCACACCGTGCCCTCACACAACAGAAACCTCTCCAGGCTTGACATGTCAAAGCACTGACACTCATACACCGCCCAACAGCGCACTGTAAAGAGGTAAAGCCCTGCCCAGCACAGTGAAAGCCCACTGGGAGGGTGACTTACGCGTCTTCGCTGGTGCCTGGGGCCGCGTGGGTGCGGCAGGAGAGCTCTCGGCAGGTAAGCGGTCCAGCCAATTGGGGGTGGAGTCATGAAGGTAGAAACGTCCAGAGGGCGAGGGGGTGGAGGTGGGCACTTCTGCCATGGCGGTACTGACAGGCCCCGAGGGCGGCGTGCTGCTCCGGCCACTTCCAGTGGTCACCTTGCGGACCGTGGTGCTCCGTGGCGTCACCTCCCGGCCCCCGGAAGGGACGAGCCTGGGTGCGCGTGTGGTGGTGGTGGTGATACGGGTGCTGATCCGGTTGGGGGGGCGGGGTGTCAAGCCGCCACCTGTGGTGGTGGTGGCGGCGGTGGTGGTGGAGTGAGCTCCAGGGTGAGTTCTGCCAGGTGCTGTGGTGGTGGTGGTAGTACTGGTGGTGGCCGTATCAGCATTCTTGGGAAAGGCGCTGGGCTTGGAGAGGAAAATGGGGTCTTGTCCGATCCCTTTGGCATCTACCAGGTCGGTTGGCACATAGTCCTTCACGGAGCCCACAACTATCCACTTAAGCAGCATCAAGCTCAGCCCCAAGCCAATGAAGCCGATCAGCAGGGGAACAACACAAAGCCAGGTCTGCTGGCGAGGCCACAGGGCACAGCTGCCACAGCGCAGAGGTCCTGGCTCTGGGGGTGAGGGTTGCTCTCTGCCTGCCGTGCCCCCGCCCCCTTCGGGCTCCTCCAGGATCACTGCCCCCGACACAGCGGGCCCCGAGCTTTCACTCATCCTGCTGGCTCAGCGAGGGTTAACCCCTGGGCCAGGGGGAGGGGGGGTATGGGCAGGACAGAGCAGACTTGCAACAGGCAACACTGGACATTGAGAAACAAGACACAGACAAAATCACACACATGCACACACACAATCACGCTCACACACACACTCACACACAGAGGGCTATTTCAAAGGATGTGAGTGCACAATTATAGCAAGGTGTGCCTTTCTGTCTAGTTTTAGTCAGTCCAATATTGTGCACAGCAGTGCTGTAGAGAAGAGTAGAGGAATCCAGGGCACATTAAAGTAAAAAAATTAAAGAAAGATGTAGCAATCCAAAGGAAGGGAATTTAGATAGGTATCTCTGATGAGCTGTAAATCCTTCTGTCTGGGGAGTCAGAATGTAGCTCCTACTGCAGTTCAGGACTGCCACTACAGAATAAATGAGACCATTCTTGTTTGCGCAGATTCTCTCAATATTCCTTGCAGTGTCTCCAGAAATTTTTAGCTTTCATAGCCTCTCGCACTCAGCTCCTTGGTTCTCTGCAGCTCCATTTCAAGCACGCTGACTCAGCTCATTGCCCAATAATTCTTTCCCCGACTAGAAAAGCAGCCATCGGCACCCCACAGCCAGCCTGCCTCTACCGTAGTGCACCTCCTAAATTTCTTGCTGGTATGTTGCCTATGCTCCCCTGCCGTACTCCAATGGTGAGGACAGGGACGATCCAATGTAATACAGCTGACAATTGAAGCTGAAGGGACTGGGGGTCACAATCCTCCTTCTGCTTACCAGCCTTTCTGTTCAGGTCTCAGGGGCTGTCAGCTCACGTCCTGCTGTCTGTCTATTGACTGTCATTGCAGCAGAAGATAAAGCACACGGACTCTCCCTTGCTACATTCCAGCACTGAAAGAGACGGAACAGCCTGCAAGAAGGAGACAGACAGAGACAGAGAGAGAGAACAGCTGAAAATAGCCAGCTGCTCCTCACTGTAAATCCTTAATTTGATGCCAGCTTTTCATCAAGGTTCCTGTCTATGATTTTTCACTCCTGGAACTTTTCTTATTTTATTTGTTAATATATCCTGCCTTCGTTCTTTTCTGTAAGCTTTTCTCTCCAGCGAGTACCCAGATGCTCCAACATCCTACGGCTGCAAATACTCCAGCCAGAGATACGGCTGCTGCCCAATCGCGATGGTGCTGAGAGAGAGAGAAAGCAAGAGCGAGAGAGGGAGGGTGGAAAAGTGAGTGAGAGAGAGAGAAAGAGAGGCGGGATTGCACCTGCTCCCTCCACCAGCACTGGGACTAATCTCCGCCTCCATCACAGAAAAAGAGAGAGAGAGAAAGGGGAGGAGATACAGAGGAGTGAGAAACCAATCCAGGCATAAGAACGAAAGCTCTGCAGCATCAGCAGCAGAAGCTTGCAAAGAAGCTTGATTCTCCACAGACCTGGCGGCACAGGCAGAACCACAAGCAGATAATTCAGAGCTCTGCTGGGTAAAACAAGTTCATCCCACTCCCCAGCCACTCTGTAAGGAACAAGTAGAAGCAATATGATAAAAGGAAAGGAGTAAGACAAGAAACAAAATGGTGAAGGCGGTCTGTGCTGGAGGTTGGGGTGTGCTACAGGGGAGGTATCCTAAGCCAATCCTGAGCTGACAGGTAAAGGAGGGGTATATGGGGCCTGATGCAAGTCTGTTGCTAATACAGGAAATTATGGGTGTGAGAACAGAAGAGGCAGACAGTTCTAGGGTGAAGAAAAACTGAACAATCAAGATGAAGCACCTCCCACTAGTTTAAGGGAGCTCCTTTCATACACAGTGGGTAAAATACCTCAGCCCTCTTACTGCTCCCACAGGGGACTAAAAGAGGGTTTGCTTATGGAGAATAGGAAGCCACAGTACTTGACATGAGGTCAAGGCGAAACATATGTGTGCCACTGACACACTTAAGCCAGATAGACGTATTAAAGACCTCCATTAAACAGATAAACCAGAAACCTACAATACAAGCTTTAAAATGAACAAATTGGTACATATGGATGTTTGAATTTATCAAAATATGGACATTTTTCTAGTCAATACAGTACAGTCCATATGGTTTATATCAGAACACCTTTTCTAGTTGGTGAGGTTCAGGCTGTGCTCTTTCCATATTTTAAAATGGAAATTAAATTCAACACTTGATGCAATGACCTTGCAGTCAATTTTACTTCTACGAGAGACATCAAGTTTATGTTATTTGATTCTTAACACATTATCAGATTCTCCAAGAGAAAATGACAGGAGGAATGCAAGTTCACCAGTCCTACAGCATATTACAGTACTGTACTGTATGTACCTAGCAGATCTGGAAGACTAAGCTGAAACGAGGCACATTACAGTAATGTAAGGAATCAGCAGAACTACATGTGGATATAAATCTGCATCACAAATCAATTACTGATTTCTGCAGCCCTGTGGTCAATTTCTGTACCATTGATCAAGGACTGAAGAGCACAAAGAGTTTGAAATTACGTCTGGGCTACTTTGGCCATGCAGTTTGAAAATGCTCCCTCTGCTTTTGAAGCTTTATGGATAGACAGAGGATTTCCAGCACAGAAATTAGAAAGCAAAGAAGCTTTAAAAACAAATATTCTACAATGCAATTACACTGAAGAAAAGATCATGGTGGGACTGATCTGCCAAGTACGCTCGCATCACTGCCTTGCTAATCACGGTTGCAATCGTTGTCACAAGTAATGTGAAGTAGCAAATGAATATATACTGGGCAACAGCATAATAAAAGGTAAAGTTGTCAATAATCAATTTGTTGTTACATCCTTCCTAATACCTAACCAATTACTTTACAATACATGGTATTATTCTTGTGTGCTGCAACATCCCTTTCTGCAAAAACTAACATTAGATATACTGTATATTCTCTTGAATTGTAAACACACACTCTTTTCAAATTTACAGTTATCACTCAAGTGATACAGCTCATTTACCCTAAGTACCTTGTTGGGCTACTTTATTAACTTGTATAAAGCTTATCCATGTATAGAAAATGATATATACTGCAATGTGTAGATTCATTAAGGTTATTATAACAATTAAGTTAAAAAGTGAATACATTCCAGATCCATGTATAGAAAATGATATATACTGCAATGTGTAGATTCATTAAGGTTATTATAACAATTAAGTTAAAAAGTGAATAAATTCCAGATGAATGTTCTTGATTCTAAATCCTTTTTGTTCTGTTCCCTTTCCTGTTGCCCTGATCATGATTCTTAATGGCTGCAATCATTCTGCTGACACAGATGGGCTAGAATCTGTGGGATTGTGGACTAGTGAACTAAATTTGCTTGTCCAACAAATTGCTAGTACAGTAATTAACAAATTAATATCTGATTTATGATGTCACCATGTCCACGCACCACCTGGGCTTCTATGCATGAGCTGCACCTGTCTGATTCCATCAAGACACCACACACAGCTCAGTCTTCAAACATCTGGCATTCTCTGCACATCTACTGTAGTTATTTTTTTACATATTTATCTGATGTATTTTTCTCAACAATTTTAACACTGTTGTTTTAGTTTTACATGTATGTCTTATGTCTGTACATACCTGGTTAATTCTTTAGACATCTGTCTAATTGTAGTGGGCAATTCTAGTCCAGGCTGGAGTACTGCAAGGTTTACAGGTGATTTCCAGTTAGTTTCTGATCAAGGCCTAAAAACAAGTGATTGAAGTTTTTATCTACATAATTAATTTGATTAAGTGATTAAGTTCAATTATGTAATGGCAACCAGAGAACTTAAAGGACTGGAGGTGTCCATTCCTTCCATTCCTTGTCCACTTCTTATTCTCGTGCCTAATGTCTCTTATTTAATTATATACCTGTATACTGTTTGTATGCTTACATACTATATACAATATTTCTGATTTAAGAGACATTTAGATATAAATCAATGTCCTTTTAATAGACATTTAATTTTAAATGTCCATTGTCCTCATACCTATTCTTTCCTAATTCTGATACATCAAACTGCCCTTTTCACAATCTTCTCAGACTTATTGAACCCTATCCTCCTGTCTTTCTGACCTGAAGCCCTACTTCCCTTTGAATTAGCAGACTGAGACACTGAGCATGCATGAACAAAACCTGAACCTTAAATTATTTCACATCGTTTTGCAATGCACAACAATATATTGCCTGAGCACTCAACCAGAAACATTTCTGGATCATAGCTGTCAGTCAAAAAAAAAAAAATCACATGAACAGAGAACTAAATAAGTTTAATCTTTAATGCTGCCACCTGGAATTACAAACAAGCTCTAACTAGAACACGGCAAAGCTTGAGAAGAATATGGCTTTAATTTAAGGAAAGTGATGCTCAAACTACACAACACACTACACTACACAACACACTAATTAGACTTAAGAATTAAGAATATTGTGTAATAATGATATTACAGACATAGAGTTAAAAAATCAACAGACATGATCTCAGTATAGAAAATTGTCAGGGACATGTAGACTACCATTTCAGTAGTGATATAAAGACATGGAGTTAGAATTAAAAAATAAGAGGGAATCCTTTAGGATAGAGAATAGGAGGTTTTTCACACAAAGAAACAAGCATCCTAGCCAGGTCTGAAATCAGGACTCATTCAAGAAATGTCTAGTCAAAAGTTTAAATTCAATGTTCTAAAGTACCATACGAGAAATATGACCAGAGCCCTTCTCCCATATTTTTATCTTCAAATATTGTAAAACACCTCTTGAAATTCTGAAAATTTGAAAATTCTAAAAATTGACCACAATGTGTTTACAAAAGTACCTACTGAAAGTAGGAATACAAATAAGACAGTACAGACAATAGTGTTGGGATTGCTAAAAATTGATTATATTAAATGCTGCATACTGTAAAGTACTACAAAATGTAAAGGTATAGCATTTAAGAAACCTCAAAGGAAATTATTGTTCTAGAAATAATAAGGGTGGAATGATGGTTAGCATTACTGCCTTGCAGAACTGGGGCCCTGGGTCCAATTCTGTACCCAGGAGTTTGTATGTTCTTGTTTGCATGGGTTTTTCCCTGGATATTACAGTTTCCACCTACCCCGGTAGGTTAATTTGTTTCTGAGAAAATTAGCCCTGGTGTGAGTGCGTATATCTGTGTTTGAATCTTAAAAGTAATTGTAATGTTTTCACATCTGTAGTGTGTCTTTTTAGAAAGTGTTGTAGAGGAAGAGGGACTGGTTGTATTGTAAATTTGTAGCCTGGAAAAGAAAGACCAGATTAAAGAATGAGAAATTCAAGGTGAGAAAGGTTTTTACTTTTTTTTTAAATGTCGGGTTCTAGATACAGCCCAAAATAAGAAAACAAAAATACATTGTATTTTACAAGTTCTGGATGGAATGCACTGTATTGGTTGTTGTTACAGTACACCAAGAATTGTTGGTGTATGGTACAAAGCAGATTGCAAGTGTATTCACAACACATTACCATAGGTACTAAATAGAAGTCTTCATTTTGCTGCAGATGAGCTCACTGAGCACTATCAGTCTCTTTGAAAAGCTCTCTGCTTCACAATTTTGCTGACACCAGGTTCATGCATATCAGATCTTCAAGAAGCACTTTTCAGTGTGATGCTTTGTTTCAAGGAACTGCTTATCAGGTAAAGATATAATCGTTCTATTCTATCATGGCCTACTTCTAGTCATTGTAAGCCATTTGCATCACCTTGAGACTTTTATCGTGTTAAAACACATGAATCTATCTGCATTAAACAGATGAATTTATACTTACAACTTACAACTTATGTGTACATGTGTCTGTTTTTACTAGAGGACTTGTTATCATATTGTATGTAATGAGCTAGCAACAACATCTTCACATTACTTAATTATACCTCATTATTACCAAGGAAGTTCATAAATTATATAATGCATAAATTAGTGCCCCCGGCCTAAACACTGCATTCCTGTCTTCATAAACACATCTGCATAAAATAGACTGAATATGGGTAACTTAATGGAAAAGGTTTGGTACAGAAATTTCAAGAGTGAACCAATTCCTCCACAGACATCCTAGGGCCTAGGCAGCCATTCACTGAACATGTACTGTACATGAATATCAAAAGCAGTAGTTTTCTGAAGCACCTGTAAAAAATACAAAGAACTCTAAATTAAAAGATAATTAGCTGGCTGCTTCGTGGAACATATGTGAAATATTCAGATTCATTCCACAGCATTTCCCATTGCCCAATAAAGAAGACATCACCATCTGTGGAACCAGTCAGTATTGTG